GTGGATTATCATCATTTAGGAACATACACTTGCACATTTCTTCAAAGCAAAAGTTAAGTTCCTGTGCTATAGCAATGATCTAAACATTGCGAAATCCTTGGGACACGACTTCGTCACAGTCCTGCTGTAGGAAACTGGACAAGCGACTTATACTCAGGAACAGAAAGACTTTTTCAGGAGACCAGAGGCAGTGACTGTATCTCTGTTAGGATAGATTTCACTTCAGAGAGACAGGGTTTTCTGCAGTGTCTCAACAGAAACAAAACTCCTTTACCTCAATCCCATTCCTCTCGGCAGCCTAATTTATTGTCTGTTCAAACCATCCGCAGGAGTTCTCGCCTGTCTCAAAGGAGCTCTGTGAAATTTGATTCATTAAGCCATGTTAAGTACCATGAGACTCTCGCGTGGTAAAATTTTAGAAGTGCAGAGAGCACTGTCATCTAACAAGGGGCCCGCTCTGTCCAACAAATGTGTAATACACGCTGAAGAAACCCTTCCTGTCCGAACACTTCTGTATTTTTTTCCCCAAAGTGTTTCCTGTGCTCCCCAGCCCCGTATGCATTCAAACAACCCAGGTAACAGCCTTTGGGATGTTAAGAAGGGAAACTTTAACCAAAAACATCAGAATAAATCCTACTGCCAGCAAAGAAAGTCCTACGGAGAATAAGCAAAATGCTTGATGGGATTCAATAAAACTATGTATGAGTTTCTGAGAAATATAGCTGTTACCTATCTGACCCCATCTCTTATCAGGACTCTTGAATGGCCAGAAATATACTCAGAAAATGGATCCACATCTTTGATAGCTGTACCTAATTCACTGCTGCTTGTAGAAAGGTATTAGGAAGCCCTTTTCAGTGTTATAACTAGATTGGCAATTTCCTGCAACTATTTGTAATGTCCCTGATGTGCAGAGAAGTGGTTTAACCCCAGCTGGTAACTCAGCCCCACGCAGCCGCTCGCTCACTCCCCCACGGTGGGACGGGGGAGAGAATCGGAAGAGTAAAAGTGAGGAAACTCATGGTTTGAGATAAAGACAGTTTAATAGGGAAAGCAAAAGCCGCGCACGCAAGCAAAGCAACACTAGGAATCCATTCCCCACTCCCCATGGGCAGGCAGGGGTTCAGCCATCTCCAGGGAAGCAGGGCTGCATCACGCGTAATGGTTTCTTGGGAAGACAGATGACATCACTCCGAATGTTTCCCCCTTCCTTCTTTTTCCCCCAGCTTTATACACTGAGCATGATGCCATATGGTAGGGAATACCCCTTTGGCCTTTTTGGGTCAGCTGTCCCAGCTGTGTCCCCTCCCAGCTGCTTGTGCAGCCCCAGCCGGCTCGCTGGTGGGGTGGGGTGAGAAGCAGAAAAGGCCTTGGCTCAGTGTAAGCACTGCTCAGCAATAACGAAAACATCCCTCTATTATCAACAGTTTCCAGCACAGATCTGAAACATAGCCCCATACTAGCTACTACGAAGAAAATTAACTCTGTCCCAGACAAAACCAGCACAGAAGTAGAAGTGCCGTGAGAGGGACATCAGTCTCCTCCGTCACTGCCCCGGCCACTCCGTCTGCAGGATCTTGCTGGTGCAGCCTGTCCTGACATACGGACATGGCTCACACTGGCATTTCTGCCGAGCTCACATTGGGCAGAATCCCTCGCGTTATGAATCACCTGCACCCTGGCAGCTGGGTGAGAGCCAGGTTTGCTTGGGAAGCGGAGGCTTTAGCGCAGGACAGTGGCTACACCAATAAACCCAGCCGTGTGAGCGCAGATAAAGGTTTCCCGTCACGCTGGAAGCTGACTGTATCGACACGCTTTGTTCACAGCAGGCTGTGCGAAGCAGTTGTTTTAGGTTGCAGATACAGAACATCCAGCCTTATTTTCAAAGGTGTTAAGCATCTGCAAAACCCACTGGTTTCGACAGCAAAAAAAACAGGCTACTACTGCTACTTAAGTGCCAACATATGGATTTCAGGCTCTAATTGCATGCACCATGGCTTGATTAAATTGCTGCCTGGAGCTTTGCCAAAATAGATTATTTCACGGAGCAAAAGCTGGATCTACACAGCAGTTTTGAAGCAGTAGCACACATCCCAAGGCAGCATGGAGCTACGGTGCAGGTATGCCTCAGGTGGGTCCGTCTCAGTGCACATAACTCTGGTTCACATTGCACTGTCCTTTACTACACTGAGCTGCTGCAGAATAGACACAGCCTTAGATAACAGCTCCTCCCCAGAACCTGTTACCTGTGCCTTTATCTTGTTGCTCATTTCATCAGGATCTCATTTTCAGAATCAGATGTTCAGATCAGCATGGAAATGGCTGGAAAAAAGGACTGTTCTGAAACCAGCTGCATCAGCTAAGAGCCTGAGACCTGAGCTCTTTTGAAAAATTAGTCCCTAAAATCAAGATGTTACAATATTGCAGAAAATCCCCAACTTCAGATTTTCCAGAAGAGTGTCCTGATCTGAATTAATAACAGCTACAACTTCACTGAGCTCCACGATCAGTCGCAGCTCTCAGGGACGATCAGGTCACTATCCTCTACGATTAATCAGGCTTTCTTATATATTTTAATTTTTGGTCTATGAAAAACCTGCCATCTGGAGAGCTTTGCCGTGAAGAGCATTGCAGCAAACAGCCTTGCCACAGGGATGCTTTCCTCCCGCCATGGCACAAGCAGCAGCATTACAGGCAGTTTGCAGTGTCCCTAGAAGTGCGGTGACCTCCAGGGCTCAGGGTCCCCTTGTGAAATGAGGGTGTAGCTCTGTTTCCCTGCGTACGGATACTTTGGCTGCTTACACCAAAAGAAATAAAAAACAATTGAAAAGCTGTTATATTTGTTCTTAGCATCTTTCTGTGAGGTGAAGGCTTGACTACATACTGAATCGCAGTGCTTTAGCTAGAAAATGGACTTCTTTTTTAGCCAGTTTCAGGAGGAAAATGCAGAATGATATGCGTGCATGTGCTTATTATGGTTTAGCTCAAATAAAATAATTCCTGCTAGAATAAACTGAGACAAGAATAACAGTTCCAGCCCACACGGTTCTGCAAGAAATGTTCCAGAATAACCACACCAAGGACATTCTTAATACCAAATCAAAGTGCTCTTTTTGAGTGACGACATGTGAACCAAACCATGTGGATATGTGGGCAAGTAATCAAAACTTACAAAGCCACAGAGGCTTAACAATGCTCAGAGCATCCGCTGCACCTTGGTGACAAAACAAGCCTCTTAGCCCACCCCGTTACTTTAAAGCTGTTCTTTTAAATCACCACAATGGAAATTAAATCCCACATTTCCGGCATAAGGCAGCGTAATGCATGTTACTACCTAGCAGGATGGTTAAGGACACATCAGCTGTTTCTTGAGGGACGGTCACTCGTCCAGCCACAGCACTTTCTCGCCACGTGCCTCTACCCATCGGCAAAAGTGCAGGGCTTAGCCAAAGCTCCCTGTCAAGACTCCTTCCAGTGTAGAAAAGGTTTTATTTTGGTTTAAATGAAAATAAAGCATTTTGGTTTATTTTATGAAGACATGCCTGGGCTCCCCAGATACAGGCAGTTAGAGACCTGAGGTGCCAGAGCATCCCACCTCCTCTTCCCCAGTGCTGCAGAAGGACAAGAATCTCCTCACGTTCCCTCTTTCAGACAGCACAGGGCTGTGAAAGGCACTGCATGTGTCCAGTTGGGCAGCAGAGTCTGGCCCAGACAAGAGATTACACCAGTTTACAGTGGGACACGAACCACAGCAAGACACCGGTCCAGTGTCTGCATTAAAGAAAAGACAGAATCTGAATCTATAAAATATGAAGAGATATGGGTTGCCAAAAAGCAACAAAACTCTTTTGTGTGATTTTTTACCAGACTGCCTATTTTGCTACTGACGTCTAAGTCTTTAAAATTTGCCTTGCTCTGCAACATTTTATTTTTTTCCAAAACAGTCCCTTGCCTTTGAATTCTCACAGACATAGTCTGTGGTCAGAGAAACATTTGGGGAAAATGTTAAAAAATAATTATTGGACAATTTTTAATGAGTTTCCCTTAGGAATCTCAAGTACACTATTGCTTTTCAGATGGTTTTGTCAGGCTGTACTCCAAGGTCAGCTTCAAATTTAATTTACTGGACACAACTTCCATGCACCAAGAGCAGAACTCCAAAGTCTTCCCTTTGTCATTTAAGAAGCAATCACATGAAAAAAATGCCATAACCTTTCTTCATTTATTTCCAGATATTATCAGGAGCTATATCTGTATGAGAGCAAAAGAGTAGATTTGGGAATATTTAAGCAAAGGACATAGTAATGTATAAAAAAGAAAACTACAAAAACCAGGACTTTGGACAACATAAATCACACAGGAAGGGCAACGAGAGATTATTAAAATTTTTTATTATTTATGAAAAGCTGTAGGTCAACACAACATTGTACAGCACTTGAGGAGTACTAACATGCAACAAATACACCATCTCAGGAGGACTGCAGTCAGAACAGCTCAGAAAAAAGAGTTTAAAACAGTAAAAAATAGGAGAAGTGGGGACTTAGAACTTGAATAAGTGGGGTCAGAAAGTTCTCTGAAAGGCCTGCGCACGTATATCTGTAATATTTACATAAAATAAAAATTTATGTCTTATTAGTGTATTTGATTATCAAATACAATGAGTCTGGGAGCAGATGAATCACACTGTGAACAGCAAAGGCACGCAAATCCCCAGATCTTAGTACGGAGCATGGGCCGAGACTGAAGTATATTGACCATTTGTGTCAAATTCTCTGTTGGTTTAAACAGATTCAGTTTGACAGAAATAAAAGGTTCGTTACAGTCCCAGTAGGTCCCTGGGAATTAACGGCAGCAGGACAGCTATTCTGCATACTGCTCTCACTGGAGTATGTTATCTACACCCTTAGTCCGTGTTTGCCAGAACACCTCTTATTAAAAACCACTGTTTATACCTTTCCCTAGATTCTGCTGTTCGGTTCTATAAATACCACCCTTTAAAGACCTGTGGTCTCCCCCTTCTCTCTAGGTGGCAAATCTGCTCAGACTCTTCCAGATCCCCCAGATAAGCTATGCCTCCACCAGCGCCAAGCTGAGCGACAAATCCCGCTACGACTATTTCGCGCGGACGGTGCCCCCTGACTTCTACCAAGCGAAAGCCATGGCTGAAATTTTACGGTACTTCAACTGGACTTATGTGTCAACGGTTGCTTCAGAAGGAGACTACGGGGAGACGGGGATCGAAGCCTTCGAGCAGGAAGCTCGCCTCCGCAACATCTGCATCGCCACCTCCGAGAAAGTGGGCCGGTCCAACATCAGGAAGTCCTACGATGGCGTGATCAGGGAGCTGCTTCAGAAACCCAACGCCAGAGTGGTGGTGCTCTTCATGCGAGGCGATGACTCTCGGGAGCTCATTGCAGCTGCCAACCGCTTCAACGTTTCCTTTACCTGGATTGCCAGTGACGGATGGGGAGCGCAAGAGAGCATTGTCAAGGGCAATGAGCACATAGCTTCTGGGGCAATAACCCTGGAACTTGCTTCCCATCCAGTTAAAGAGTTTGACAGGTATTTCCAAAGCCTCAGCCCTTACAATAACAGACGCAACCCCTGGTTCAAGGACTTCTGGGAGCAAAAATTCCAGTGTAATCTCCAAAACCGAAAACCACATAAAAAGGCTTGTGACAAACACTTCACCATCAACAGTTCTAACTACGAGCAAGAATCCAAGATCATGTTTGTTGTGAATGCCGTGTATGCAATGGCCCATGCCTTGCATAAAATGCAGCGGACTCTGTGTCCAAACACCACCAAACTCTGTGATGCCATGAAGCATCTGGATGGCAGGAAGCTGTACAAAGATTATCTCCTGAAAGTAAACTTTACAGGTAATAACTTCTCTTTTGTTACATACAGAATGTCACTGTAATTAATGAAATGTTCATTGGTCACAGTTAGAGCCAAATGAATGCCCACCTATTACCAAGGTTCAGGCCAGTGTTGTACCCTGGCAAGGCCACTCCTGTCACAGGAAGGGAGAAAGAGGAAGAGGAACACGTAGCATGGTGAGAACCTTAAAAAAAAGAAGCTTAATGCTCCTGTTTCCAGTAGAAGGAAGAGGTGGAGGTGGCAACAGCTGGTGTTGGAAATGTTATCTACTTCCACGCACCAACTTCCATTTTATTCAGAGCCAGTTTGGCTTTGGCTGGGCATGTCTGGAGACCAATGGTCATTTGACCATCTGTTACACTAGGCAATCGCTTCCTATGACTATGCCAAGACTTGGCCTTCTCTTCTTTGTTTTTTAATGAATTTACATAATAGCTGGACCCTGGTCAATGGCTAATGTCCTTGCAATAGTAAAGCAATAATTCTTGCCATAGAACCATATCAGTATAAAAAATTTAAATATGTGGTATAGTGCCATTACCTATGTTACAGATCTTTAAGCTTGATGACAAAGTATGAAAAGCTAGATTAAATATATGCAGGAGGTTTGTGGAGAAAGAGTGGATGATCTAGCAATGATATAAGCAAAAATCATGGGGACTGGCTGCACAACACATGACATCTCTGCTTTTGCCATCACATATGGCTGAGCTTAGGTTTGTTATTGATACTGCACCATAGCAAGGCTAAATAGATCTGCAGGGGAAACAAGTGTAGAGCATCAAATCCTTTTGCTGTTACATGTCTAAATTCTTTCTGAAGCATCTATGTTGAGCATGCATTTCTATGTATTATTAAACTGATATTCTCAGCTGACAGAGTTGATAGTAAGGAAACATCATGCTGTGCTTTATATGAGAACTAGCTCCAAGAGGAATTGAAGGATAAATACGTGTATGATACCACATGCTCAGTCCCAAGAGACCCTCAGTAATGGTACAACATTAGTAACACTGGGAACTATGTGAAGCTGTCAGATTGGAGCTTGAACTTTTCCCTCCTTCAGAGTTCTCAGCATTTGATTCAGACTGTATCTAGATACTACCAGTTACAACCCGAGAGCTTCTATCACCCCCAGTGTGGTATGGCTGGTGTAAGCAAGTACCCCACTTTCTTGGGTACATGCAGACATACCTCCCAGTACACGCTGCAGAGCTCCTTAGGACCCCAGGTCTTCCAGCACGCTGCTGGCTGGCTTGTTTAGAGCACTTCAGGGCTTCCTGCAGCCCACACACCTGGATTTCTTTACCATGGAAATCAGGGTGGGGCAGATGGGACTGGTCATGTCCTACATCCTAGCTCATCCCCCAGGAGGTGATTCAGGAGGACCCAGGAGACTGGGCATGGTCTGGTAATATAGATTTGGTCACAAAGAAAAAATGCTGCTCTCAGTGAGAGCAGCTGGAAGTTGGGATGCTTCAAAACCTTCACCTGAGTGTTGCATGCAATGCAGCTGAAACAACACGCCTGGCCTGAGCAACACGATGCTTGTGCACATCATGCTTCTGGTCTCCTCCTAAAGACTGCTGCACCAGTAAGTATAGTCATATACCATGACATATACGGATGCATAGGCAATGTACATATAGCGTATGTCATGCTGTAATTGCATTTGATTTATTTATTAATTTCATGTGTTGCAGACAACAGCACGAGACACAATGAACCAACCTTTTAGGCTTTAAACCTATGGAAAATAAGAACCATAATTTCTCCTCCCCCTCCACACAGTACTTTATACACAGAAACTATTTTCCCATTTGCCTACACTTATCCTGAAATACATGAATGTCTTGAAATTGTTAAATCAAAAGGTTTTAGGAGCACAGCACTTCCCAGAAGCTGGGTGCTGGCAGACTGATCACAAGGGATGGCAGTGGTGTGCAACGTGCTTCTGCCCCTGCCAGGGAGACACGGCAGGACAGTAACAGCCCACCCAGGTGAGTAGGCAGTTCAGTAATAAGCTTCAAACATTTTGAAACTTGTTCTGACACTCCAGGTATTTTTATGGGCTCAAATGCACACACTTTTAAGAGAGAGGCCAGCTTTAGTCTGTCACTAGGCAATCTTGGTTCCAGTACATGATTCCTGATAATTTTTCTGTTGAGCAGAGATTTTTTAAGAACTTAAGCATTTTTCCACTCAGCATTTAGAGATAAAGTCAAACTCACCACAATTTTCTTTGACCAACCTCCAGGAAAATTTTCATTTGAATACAGCCAGAAAAATTAATTTTCATTTTGATTGGAATATCTTTTATACATTTTATGAATTGGAAGTTGAAGTTGTTCAAGCTGAAAAAAAATAAGTTCAAAACCTGTCATTTTGCAATTTTGAAAACAGAAGTCTCTTCTTTTAATCAAACTAATTTGTTTTAATATAAACATGGCAATCTTTGAAACTCTGAAAAACTTTAGTTTCAGTTAGTTTTCATTTCCAATTTAAAGCATTAAAAAACCTGTCGAGTTCGTATCCAGTGGCTTTGTTCCATGTATATTATTCCTAGCTTACAGCATGATTTGCTCATCGCCTGTTTCTTTGTTATCAGTTCTCCCATTATAATGTGAATGCATGTTTTAATGTCAGTGATTTTTGAAAGCAGATGAGTTGATTTTTATGTAGTGAGAGAATCAGCAAATCTCCCATGCCTTCTCCCCTTCAGAAATGTGTGAAATTTTAATACATACAAATCTTGTCACTGATTTCCAAGGGACCAAGAATTCACTTTTGCTCTTTTCTGGTTGAAGAAAGTCTCTGGGTGTGTTGTTAATACAATTTCAGGACCCTGCAGCACCTCACAGTTGATCAGTGATGCTCTCCTAGTTCCAGCTCCAAATCTGAGAATTTATCCCCAGTGCAGAGAGAGGATGGCATGGAAGCTACCAGCCCATCAGGTACACTGCAACCAAGCCAGACTGGGAATTTTCTTACTTCTTTAGGCAGTGATGCACAACCACCAAAAGGAATCAGGCAAGAAGCAGAACACCAGCAATAACCATGTTCGCACACACAAACAGCGATTTAAGCAACGCCGCCTCTGCTGAACGGCAGAGGTACAGATAGATGAGTCCTGCATGCATAAACCTGCAACTTGCCATGAAAATAACCCTAAAAATGGCCCTGAATGTATTCTCCCAGCTTCCAGGAACATTTCAAACACACCAGTCTGAATAAATGATAGGATGTATTTATATGACTGGTGTGGGACTGTGCAATTTCAGACATTTACCCTACACACTTGAATTAGTTTTGGATAGTCTCTGATTACAGTTAGTGGAGGGGATCAGCACTTACAGGCTGCCGTTCAGCCCACGTGAGGTAGCCCACGTGAGATATGATTTGCCCCTATATCTCTTGCTATTGACTACAGGTGGAGCATACAGCAGCTGAGATTTTCACGTGCGATTTAGCTGAAAGCCTGAAGTGAGATGCTCAGGTACAGCAATAATGGGATCTGCAGGGAAATATTCAGGGACCAGGTAACAGCAGGGGTGGGGTAGAGGACTGTCAGGATTTGTGCACTCTCGTGCTGCCACTGTTACTGATATGCTGTGTGACAGGTATTTCATTAATCTCTCTGGGGTCCTACTTATTTCTCCTTTTTCATTAAATTGAAATAGAACTGCAGTGTGGCATGAAGGCAGGGTGCAATTTCATTCTTTATTGTCTGTGAGATACACCGAGCACAGCGTAAGAAGTGTGTAACAAATGTCGTGATATCCTGAATCTCTTCAAGGGAGAAAAGAGACACCTATGCCTGATTCCCACTTCCAGCAGCAGGATCTGAGAACGCAAAGCCCAGCCCCTAGATAAACACACCGACTCCATGGCAGTGCTTGTTTGGCCTTTCAAAGAGATATAGGCTGGTTCATCTTCTTGATCTTCTCAACCTCTGCATTCCCTCCTGAGGGCACAATTGCAGCACTTGATGTTCTGAATCGTGATGCTCTTCTGCTGATAAAGAGATGCTTGTTCAAGAGGCTGTTTTAGCTTGAATTAGCAGAACGACAAAGAAGTGCTGAACAAAAGTAAAGGGCTCCATGGGAGAGAGCACAGAGTAAACTCAACTTCTCCCCAGCACCCAGCCATTGCTTGGTTGAGGGCAGCGTGTGGAGGGGACTCTCGGGAGGGCTGTGAATCCAGGGATGAACCCCAACACAAGGCAGAACTCCACATATCCAGAAGCCTCCCTCCTTCAGAGGGTTGGAGGGGCCAGTGCAGCCACCAGCTCTGCTAACTCTTTTAGCTCCTTTAAGCCACCAGGATGACACAGAAAAGTGGTGTTACCATTGCCCAGAGCACTATTGCAAACCTCACAATATTTGACAGGTGCCAGGACAGTGACTGTTAGCTCAGACAGTGTGAAAAGGGTGTCCACCATTGGGGATAAAGCGGCAAGGTCCTGCACAGCCCTGCCCCATATGTTGCTACCTGGTGTAGCTGCTTCTCTGGGGCATTGGGCTCCAGGTTGGCCAGGGATGAGGAGGGCAGCAATGACATTCAAGGACCAGCATTGTCTCCATCTGGCCCAGGGGTGCCAAGGTGGTTCTGCAGGATGACAGCCTTGTCACCCAAGGGCATGGGACTGGTTTCCAGCTTTTCCCACTGCCCAGTTAGCAGGGCTGATGGTATTGCAGGACTAACCCTGCTGTGAGTCTGGCATGGGAGCCTATGGGCAGAGGGAGGTTGGATTTAGGGGTGTATGCATGTCCACCTGTCTTCTGCAGCTTCCTGAATCTCCACAGCAAATGGTAGGAAGAATTGGGCTAAAATTGTAACTCTGGAAAATAGATCATTAAAAATTTTAAGCAACACATGTTTATAGTACTCAGTGTCTTTTCCTACTGCTTTCTTCCTCCACAGCTACAAGAATCACTGTCATGTCCCTCTTTGTATTATGTTCAGAAATCCAGCTCTTCTACAGCAAAGCCTACATCAT